TCTCTTCATTTCTATCTGTCGCTTTCTTTTTTTTTTTCTTTTCGTTTTTCCTTCTTTTTCCCCCCCTCCCTTCTGTTACTCCTTGTATATATGCATATATACATGTGTGTTTGTGTATAATTCCTTCCTTATGCTTCTTTTTCTTTTGGATCATGTTATTTATTGGCCGCCCCCACCGACTATACGAAAGATTTGGTTCGAGATGTACCACTGGCCATTTTCTTGTGCCAGGTGAAAGACGTCGTTGAACTTCAGCGGGTGCCGTTCATCTTTCAGTAGTACCTCGCCATTCACAACAACCAGCACGCCGTTACTGAGTGAAGGGTGACAATCGATGTCTTCTGCCTTGAAAATAGCCTCGTTGAAGCCAAGGTTGGCAAAACGTGCCATGATACTTGCGCCGCCCTGCAGCTGCTCTCCCATCCACGTCATGAGCGAATTGGAACGATACACACCGGCAAGTTGGTCGCGGCTCTTCGAGAAAAACTCGTAGTACTGCCGCGCAAAAGCCACACCAATTTCTTGAAAGGACATCCACTCCTCTTTTTTTTTTATTTTATTTTATTTTTCTTTTTAAATTTTTGTTGTGTTTCCTTTTATTTTTTATTTCCCTCCCTCTTTTTTTTTTATTGTTATTTTTTATTTTTTTATTTTTATCCTTTTAAATTTGTCTCCTCTTCGGGGTCCTTGGAGTGAAGTGAGGTGGGTGGGGTGAAACAGAGACAAAACAGGTGAATAGGCTGAACATGTCACGGGCGTACATCCCCTCCTCCCACCGCCACCAAAAAATGAAAACAACACAACCCCGTCATGGATTCTTCCACACTTCATGCTCCCTCCATGTTTATATGTCATCTCCCTTGACGCTTTTTAAATGTGTTCTTTTTTTTTTTTTTTTCCTTGTGTCTTCCTCTTCACCGATGCACCACGCCCTCCAGGACACACGCACACACTCACACGCACGCAGGCACTATCACTAAAATCAAAGTGTTCATGAGTGTGCAACAGAAATTCATCCATCCATCCATCCTCCTTCTTCCTTTTAGATTCCACAGGCGGCATCACTTCTTTCCTAACCTGTTCTTCGGATCACTGTACTCGGCGATTGAGAACCAGCCTTTGGCCTCCGCCTCCATAAACGCCTCTGGAAAGGCGGCCTGCTCCCAGCGGAGGTAATTCACAACCTGCCGCTGCAGCTGACGCGGGTTTAGTTGAAACGGGTTGAGTTTACGGTCAAATGACATTGCCCTAAAGTCCGTGCCGTGTTTCTTAATAAGACTCACTATTGTGGTGGCTTCTGCCTCGCTTATGGGCCTAGCAATGCGGGACTTTTGCCGCAACGCCTTCTGCTCCGCTATCGTGTCCTCTTCCTCCAGTCGACGGCGTGACTTTGGCCGCACTTGCTTCTTGCGCAGCTCCACGACGGACTTAGGTGCACTCGGATCCGTCGTGAGACCAAGCCGTGTGAAGTTCTGCGCGGCTGTGTTGGAGCCGTCAAAGTACTTTTGTGTGAAGTGATTGTTCGCACCAGCCACGTCAACCCGACGAACGTGGGCAAAGCGCCGTTTGAGGTACTGCTTTTTCCCCACCCGAGTGACGGGGATGTTCTTCTTCACTTTGCCCTTCGGTGTGACACGAAGACGGCCCATTTTTCTCCTCCTACAACAGCAGCAGCGTTTTTGACTGCAAAAGCCAGAATGCACACACACACAGACACACACAGAGTGATGGACGGGTTGCAAAATAAGAAAAGGGAAGGAGCAGAGGCAGTTAGATAAACTCTTGTAGGCACTTAGCTCCAATTAACCGTGTGGCCTGCAGTTACATACGTACACATTTTCGCCAGTTACGCCAGCAGCATTCACAGAAACACACATACACACGTGTAGGAAAAGAGTAAAAAGTGGGAAAAAAAAAATAATTATGGAAGTTGAGGAAAAAAAAGAATGTGCATGTGCGCAAAAAAAAAAAAAAAAAAAAAAAAAAAAAAAGGAGATAAAAAGAGAAAGAAATGGAAAAACAAGCGTTTTAATACGATATGTGAGTTCCTTCTATTAATACATCCCTTCCAAATACTCACAGGTCATGCACCACGCCTCTTTATTTGTTGCTCGTCCTGCCACGTCAATGTTGCCTGAATCTGCTGGCAGATGGCCTGTTGCTCGTTCTCTGCAAGGACGGGTTGTGGCAACGGGTGCGTGGTGAGGAACCAACGCGAGACACGCTCAACAACGTCCATAAAACGAACGCGCGAGATTTGGTTGGAGTCGTACAATGGCTGAATTTCGTTCTTGATGAACTGCAGCACCATCTTCCGGTGCGCCGCGGCAGGAGAAATCTGCATTTGTATGATGGACTGTGGCTGCACCGTGCCGGTGGGCGCAGTGTTGGTGGTGGTGGTGGTGGTGGCGACCGAAGGTAGAGAAGAAAGACGGATGGAATCCGCCGTGAAATTCCCTGCGGGACGGAAGGGGAGTAGTTGAATTTCATTCCCGCTTGACGCCCGATCCTCGTACCCCTGCAGAAGCTGCAGGATTGCCTTGCAGCGGCTCTCACGGTGCAGCATATGGGAGAGGGCCGCGTACAGTCGTTGCGTCTCATGATGGAGAACCTCCGCTGTTGGCAACGGAACAGGGAGCGGCGAGGCATTCACGGTGGCTGACCGAAACGGCTCCACGGCCGCCACGAGAAGATCCTCCTGACGCACCTTCCATTCAATCCATTGATGCTCCAATAATTCCTGCTGACGCTGCGCCACACGACGTGCCAATTCCTCGCTGCTGATCATTTTTGCGATCTCACCACGGAGCCGCAAGCAGGCATCATGACACACCACAACACGATCCTGAATGCGGGACTCGAGATCTTCGTTCCGCAGCGAAGTCGTCTCCTTGTCGCCCTCGTCAATTGTCCATCGTGCCAACTCCTTTGCCAGCGTCACAACTCGGTCAAAGCTCTCCATCTGCCGTTCCTTAGCGGATCTCTGCGGCACATTCGATAGGGTCGAAATCGCCTGCTGCTCACGGTGAATCTGCTCCCGCTGCCACTGCACTTGCGCCGTGAGACGTGCATGCAAAAGTTTCTCCAGTGCCAATTGCGACGCGGTCTCCAGCAAACGTGACTTAAGGGCTCGGCGTGCCAAAAGTCCGTGGGAGCGTCCATGCAGCACGACGTCCCGCATGGAGTTCAACTCCCCCACCAGAAGATTTTGCTGACGTCGCAGGTGAAGGACAGTTGCCCGTGCCTTTTCTACGCCCGCTGTGAGCATCCGTGCAATCTCCTCCTTCTCCGAAAGAGATGTTGTGAGTTCCGCCTCATTTGTGGCAATCTCTGCGTCTAACATGTTCTTCTCCGCCGTGAGGGCCTGTAAGCGACGGCGAAGTTCTTCACATCTTGTTTGAAGTTCGGGTTCATCTCTTGTTGCTTCTGCCAACTCAAACTCCAGCTGCAACGTCTGCTCCGCCCAGGAGAGGCTCCTCCCCCTCTTCTTCTTCCTCCACTTCGTCGTCGTCGTCGTCGTTTCCATGTTCTCCTTCTTTTTATCATCATCATTATCGTCCGCATCTCTACCGTCATCCAAGCCTTTGGCAGACGCCGCCTGCAGCTCCTCGATGTCAATGGTTTTGGAAGCAATCTCGTGCTCGACCTGATATATCTTCTGACGGATAGCCTCCACTTCATCCCGAAGTAGTTTCAGACGTTTCTTTGCAGCCTCACGGCTTGACTCCAACCGTTGCTGCAGCGCCTGTTCCTCCAGTTGCTGCTGATGAACACGAACCCGCAGCTTCCGCAGTTGTTCTTTCAATTGCACGTCAGGGGGCGCCTCGTAACGCTCCGGCACAACATAGCGCAAAGAGGAGACATCCCCCACATCTCTTTTCAACATGGAAAAAGCCGTCTTCACACGATGGACGCGATCCGCCCGCTGCAACTCGGTCTTGGTGGCACGATTTCTCTCCAACTCCGCCCTCTTCTTTGCAATGGCGCGGTGGATGGCCTCCTGTACACTTCTCAGCTCACTCCCATAAAGACTGTATCCAGCCGTCACTCGATGCAGGCGTTTGAGGTCCCAAAACGCCTTCACATGTGGGTCAACGTACTGCGCTACGGCTTTCCGTATTTCTTGTTGTGCCTCCTCCCGCGTCATGGAAACTAATCGACGCAGCACGACAAAGACAAATCCATCCTCTTGCGGCGACGTGAACCAGTGCTCTGCAGCATGCGCAGCATCCACGCGGTACTCATCCCGCAGACGTTCTCGTATCATCCGTTCCATCTCCGAGACATTTGCAGTGGGTCCGCCATTAGTTGCGTGAGACCGCCCTACTGTGTACTTGCGCCCACCCTCGCCGCTTGCACTCCACTCCGAGAATGACGCAGTGAGAGCCCTGTGGAAGGTCCTTTCTCTCTCTTTACGCCGCAACTCTTCAAAGGAGTTTGAAAGGGCATCGCGGACGTAAAGATCAAGAAGCTTCTCCACGAGACGCGTCTTGTGATACGTCAACTGAGCTTGGAGATTCTCCATTTTCACCGCTCTCCGTTCGCCACTCACTGTTCTGCTGCCTTTCACTCGACGCTTCTCGCTAACATCCCTCCTCTGGCGGTTGGAGGTGCGTAATGCCGCAAATGACGATGGGGCTGTTGAAGAGCGCGACTTCTCCCGGCCACCCGTAACAGACGCCATGTGCCGTCCCTGTCGTTTTCCTCTTCCCTTAACCTTATGCACCCCTTCTTTGGATTTGAGAAAAAAAGCACCAAACTGCAGCCACCACACAGCGACAAGCAGGAAGCGATAAGGCATGGCAGAATAGACCGCGGCAGATAAGAACAAAAATACACGCACGCCCACCCACAAAAACACACACACACGCACACAGACACAAATACACAAAACTATACTAAAAGAACAACCGAAATGGCTGCTCGCAGACATCAGTGGACCACAAGAAAGTTTCACACCCCATGCGCACGCCTTTGCTAACATGTGCACAGTGTGGCAACTGGCTGTAAAGACCCGTAATGGGGCGCCTCCCCTAAACCCTCCTTTAAAAATAACACGCTGTAGTTAAGGACCATTCACCACCTACCACCCCCTCCAGTCAATATTTTCTGGTCACTCTCACCACCAATGATGCTTTTGAGGAAAAATTAAGAAAGCACAAAAGGACGGGCGGATGTTCAATGCATGACTCAGAGGAATTGAGCAAGACACCGACATTGCCGCTCCATTCATACAATGTTAACATCCCTTTCCCCACTGGCTGTCATCACAATGATTCCCACCCCTCCCACGATGTCACAGAGAGCAAAAAACTCCCTTTCTTTTCACGGCTACGCAGCCTTAACACCATAAAAAACTATTCTCCATTCTCTTTTTGTATCGCGTCATGTGCACAAATTTTTTTTTTTTTTTTTGCCGTTATCCGCTCAACAAGCTGCAGTGAGGCAAAGCGGCACAAGACATTAAAGAATGAATTACAAAAACAAACTTCTGTCACCGCCTCTGCTGCGTGGAGTCCACGAAGAGAAGCAAACAATACAGTCAAAAAAAAAAAAAAAAAAAAGAACAAATTCAGCAACAACCACACATACAGACAGACAGACAGACACATACAAACAGTCATTACATCATCATCATCATCTTCTTTTTCTTCTTACCAGCGTATTTCCACCTCAATTTTCTTTTCTTTTCTCTCCTCCTAATCAATGTTATCTATAAGCATACAAAAAGAAACAACAACATATTACATCAATAAAGAAAAAAAAAAAAACACACACACACGTATGAGCAGAGATTGCATACCCCAAATCAAACAAATAAACATACAGATACATACATATGTTTAATGTGTAATGTATATTATGTATATAAACAAATATAAATATATATTTCTCCTTCTCTCTTTCTCTCTCTCTCTCTCTTTGTATATTATATAATATCTTATTATTATTATTATTATTATTATTATTATTATTATTATTATTATTTTTTAGTTCTCTTTTATTAATGTTGAATTGCCGCCAATTCTCTCCATTTTTTTATCTCTATTTTTTGTTTATTTGTTTGTTTTCGTTTTTTTCCCTTTTTGTATTATGCCAAACAGCACTCAATGCTTCCTATCGCTTTCATGATTTAAATTATTTTATTTTATTTTATTTATTTAGTGTTCGCTTTATGCGGTTGCCTTTCGCTCAATATATAAGTACATGCACACAAATGAGGGAGGAAGAAAAGAAAAAAAAAAAAAAAAAAGGGGATAAATAAATAGATATTTGGGGGGATTGGGGGAAAGCTTACATACATGCATGCATACACAAACAACAACAACAACAACAACAAAAAAAAAAAAAAAACAGAAAAAAACAGAAGAAGAAGAAACAGCAACATCAAAGGAAGAAAGGTGCAGACAACCTCCATAATATGACTGGAAAGAGGTGGCAACACACAGACACACACACAGACAAAAGAAGAATAAAAAAAAAAAAAAAAGAAAGGAGGGGACGCGAAATCCCTCTTCTTTTCAGAGATTGTTGTGGTCGGTGTCCTTGTTATTGGATATATTGTGCGGCGTGTCCCGCACGACGAGAGAGCCGTTCACATCGTTGCACTTGTTGTTGTTTCACACAAGTTGCTCCTAAAGCAGGCTCATCACGTCCCACCGCCTGATATAAGCGTGCATTGGGGTGGGGATTTCGGTGGCCTTGTGAATCCCACGAGCTTCGCACGTTGGTGTTGGGTGTATGTGCAATGCTAGACGTGGGAGTAACTGTCCCAATACTACCGCGGTACGTATTGCGTGTCAGGGACGCATCCGCTGCTGCTGCCGCCGCTGCCTCTGCGTGCTGGGATTCCTTTAGTCGAGCTTGACGTCGCTTTACCGCAGGACAAAAGTCCGTGATGGCGGCACCGACCAAAGAATCCACAAAGGCCGGCAGCAAAGAGGACGAGGATTGACTGCCTCCCTCAAAAGCTGCCACGTGACGTTCCACCATTTCATGAAAGCGAGTGGCCGCGTTTGCATGACGATTCAAAGCATAGTTCTCATTGGTTTTATAATCATGACGGTAGCGATAACGGGAGCGTAATTTCTGTTGTTGTTGATGCTCTTTTTGCTGTTGTTGTTTTTGTTCTTGTTTCCTTCTATCCATGCCATTAGTTACCATCACACCTCCCAAAGCTGCCTCCGGAGACAAGTCCGTCGATGCCCTTTTCTCACCGCCACCAGTCCCATATCCATCACCCGTAACCTCCAACTCCCTCCTGTGCTCTACAGGGGTATGCTTCATGTTCACTGAAGCGTGCCAAAAGGTTGCTGATTTTTTTGTCGCTCCAAATTTTTGTGCCCTATTACCACCCGTGGCACCACTGCGCATGGAGGGATCCTCCGTGTGCCGTGCGCTTGTGGCAATTTCTGGTGTTGTGCTATCCACAACCTCCCGACGACGGCGCGACGTAACCCGCCGAGTTTGCAATTTTTTTGTTGATTTGCCTTTTGAATGGACTAAAAGATGATCAAGAGATGTAAATTCGTCTTTTGGATGAAGACCACCACCCAACTCCTCATTACGTTGATCAGATCCCAAAAGACACGATGTGTTCCGTGTATCCCCCAGCCCGACTTCAGTGATTTCTTTGCTTCTGCTGACATCCGCTGTCGACGGCTTGCCATGGGCGCCAAGGTGATCCTGATACCGATAGGCTGCATAGACACGGCTGTCGTACGATCCACGATATGCCGTCATGACATCTCTGGCGCTATCCAGGTTGACGCAATCTCGGTTCATAAAAGGCGGCACCGGGGAACCCGCTTCACGCCGCATGGCAAGATATCCCGTGTCATCATCAACGGTCGGGGTGGAAAATACACGAATCGTCGTGTTCGGATTATTTGGTGTTACTTCACGTGACAAGAGATTCGGTTGGAGGTGCTGACAAAGCAACTGCATCTGTTGCTCTCGCTGCAGCTGCATCTCAAGGGATCGACTAAGTTGATCCTCCGTAAGCGCATCCGCAAAAAGATCCACAGGAGACGTCACACGAGCGGAGGGGTTTGTTGCATACGATGCGGCAATGCGTACGGCATTTTCACTTTCTCCAACCGTATTCCTCGTGGAAATAATGTGCTGTGGCAAATGAACACATGGCGTAGGGGTGTTAACATCCGTTGAACGTTCTCCATGCACGCTAGAAACAGGAAGTGAAGAGACAGAATGATGGACTTGGAGGCTATCATGGACATCTCCACCGTTATTATTGTTTCGCGCTGCAATGTTACTCACACCCTTATTCACAACACTACTGTCGCCTGCCTTTTGAGCAGCTTCGTCTAAGGGAGAAGAAGCTTTGATGTTTTCTTCTTTTGACTGACGGTAACCACGCGCGGTGTTGACAAGTTGGTGGTACCCACTCAGAAGTTCCTTCAGTTCCTGCTCAACCAGACGAAAATCACTAGTGGTGCATGACTCCACTGAGGATGGCGTGGTCGATGATGCGTTCCGATCGGCTCCAGAGAGGGCAAATGATTGTGTCACGGGCTCTCGTGCGGAAGGCGCCGGCACACACATCTCTGCCATTTGTCTCTGCCGTTCTTCCTTTTCTGGGAGTGGGCGGGGCCATCTGTCATTCAACGGAGCCTGAGGCGTCGACGGCCGTCCCGTTGAAGAATTTCTTTCCGTTGTGTAATGACTTGCGTCTCTCATTGTACCGTACCTGTCGACACGGAGCCTCTCTCTCCTCTCCGCCTCCAGCTTCTCCTTTTGGGAACCGTGACGTTGCAACATCGGCTGTCACGCACACACACACACACACACTCTTTCTCTCTTTCTCTCTTTATGTAAATGCGTGCGGTAATAATGACCGGGCAAACGGACCCTCGGAATGTACCGTGCGCTAAAGAGACAGAGAGAAAGAGAGAAAGAGAGAGAGGGAGAGAGGGCCGGTGATTTCCAACGCGATGCTCACTCCTCCTCCTCCTCCTCCTCCTTTCTCTCTCTCTACGACTTACACCTCTATCCGGGTGTATGAATACGGGCACACGTGCTAACAGGCAAAAAAAAAAAAAAAAAAAAAAAAAAAAAAGAAAACGCGGCGAAAAATCGCGTGTTTCCCTCAGCAATCTCTCCTTTATTTTATTTATGTGGTTTTAAATTTTTCTCCTTTCTCCCGTCGCCGCCGCCGCCACCACCACCACAGTCCAACAACCCCTTTTTTTAAAATTTCTCGTTTGCCTTTGAGTTTCCCTCGTTAATCCAATCCCTTCCCCCTCCTCCTTTTTTTTCCCCCTTCAAATCCCTTTTTCCCCAACACCCCCGTATTATTTATTTATTTATTTTATTGTTTATTGCTGATCTCTTTTTCTCTCCCTCTTTTTTTCTCCTTTAATAAAACCTCTCTAATGTATATATATATATATATGTGCGTATCATGGAGACACAATACACAATGAGAAGAAGAAGAGAGAAAAAGAGAAAAAAAAAAAAAAAAGGATAGACACGCACATGTTGAAAATTATCAACGGATATAAATAAATAGGGAGAGAATCCGTTGTTATTGACGGGAAATATTCATATAAGGGAAAAACGACAATTGTTTGTTGGTGGTTGAGTCTACCGCTAAAATACATGCAAATTGAAGGAGAGAGGAGTAAAAAAAAAAAAAAAAAAAAAAAAAGACGTTCCTCCCTTTTCCTTTTCTCCCTCCATAAACAACAACAACAAAAAGCAAGGAATTGTAAATCCCCCTTCAATGCACAAACAAAAAAGAACGTGCACCCATCCATTTGCATATATATATATATGTGTATGTGTATATACATATACGGGTAGATGGATGGGGTGAAGTTGAGATTGGGGAGGCATTTCAGTATGACCGAATAATAAAGACACGGAGCAGATACAAAACATTGGGTATAACAATTGCGACATACAATAAACATGCATAATAGAAATACACATGGCAGATCCCAGTTGCACATTTCAACAGGCACAGGCACAGGCACAGAGTGTTAGACCCTCATTCTCTCTCTCTCTCTCTCTCTCTCTCACGCAGACACACACACGTACTACAGATCATCCCTGTAGGTAGAAAGACTCCGCTCACTTTTATCGTCGTCTTCCTCTTCCTTTTTTTCTTCGATGTATTTAATTCCCGCAGCGGCTGCTTCGGCCACCTTCAACATCCTCACTTTGTGGCGGAACTGTAGGTCCTTACGGTGTTCTGCTTCGCGTGTCTCAATGCGGCGACGGTCGTGCTCTGCCTGCAGGATCGCCGCCCGCCACTCGTCAATCCAAAGCTGCACCATTACCTCCTCCATTTCTTCCCGCTTCCTTGCCTGGCGCTGTGACAAGTAGCGAAGAAGGCGGTACTGCTTCTGCGCCAAGAAGCGCCGCATCGCCGACTGAATGCGAACAATATAGACGATGACATGCGTCCGCAACGCAAGTGCCTCTTCTTCGCGTTGACGACGGCGTGCCAGCCAGCGGCGCACTGCGCGCTGAATGACGGTCGCGGACTTATCGCGCAGAAGTTCGCGACGAACGCAGCGGCGAATGTACAATTTTTCTGCCAACCGGCGACAGCGGCGTCTCTCGGTGAGGAAACAACTCTCGCGGGCGCGTACAAACGCATTTGTAAAGCTCACCATTCGATCCTTCCGCATTTGGATTTGGGCCTCAAGCTGCGCCGCCGCCTCGCGCTGAAGTTGCAGCGCACATCTGAGCTGCGCACGGGTGGTGCCACCGCGACATGCATTTTGAATGGTCACGGCCGCAAAGAAGAACCCCCTTCCAATAGCTGCACGTCGATGTCGCGCCTCACGCTTGGCAATCACCATACGCCCAAAAGTCTGAAGCGTCATTGTGGCGCGGAAGACCCGATATTCATTATCAAGACGCTCCTGATTCATGGCCAGTTGAACTCTTCGCATGTAACGAATCTCGCGTCCAGCGCAAAACCGCCGGTACGCACGTTGTATCATCAACACCGCCCTCACAATGCGATGACAGCGGGTCAGGACGTTGTGTAACATCTGCCGCTTAAGTGCTGCCTTCCAGCCATGCTGTATGACCGCAGCGGCCTCATTCCGTTGAAGTGCTCGCTGCTCTTCCTCACGTTTAAGCCGATGGCACCGCCGCATGTACTCCTGCAGGCATAAACGAACCAAATCTGTGCAATCCTGCAGACGGCGTTGTCGAAGCCGATGATCCTCCACCCGTCGTTGCCGTGTCGCCTGAGCTTCTCGCCTTCCCAGTATTCCCCTAACGATGCGCTGAATTTGTGTCGCTGCATAACTTTGCCGCCGGAAAATTTCTTCTTGACGCCGCTGCTCTTCCACCTCCTGCGTACGTCGCCGCCAATACGCCTTGCGAGGAACAATAATCCTCCACCAACGCCCCACAATTGCGGCCGCCACCGCACGTAGCTTGAGTTCCTCCACACCACGCAAAGCAAGTATTCTACACAATTCTTTCTCCCGACGTCGTCGAAGCAAAAAGACCTTTGCGTAGCGGGCGATGACAAGAGCTTGCTTAAACAAATTTTCTTCCCATGCAATGCGCTCCTCCACGGCCGCGGCATACCGCAACTGAGTCTGCCGCAGCTGACGTCTTTCCAGCACGGAGCTGAAAATTCCTTCAATGCACATCGCGGCAGACTTTTGCCTGCGGTATACCTCTTGGTAAAGCAATTGCTGGCGCCTCCACAATGCCCTGCGGGCACGACTACAACGCCACGCACATTGAATACAACACGCCGCCTTCATTCTTCGCACACGCGTGACATTGAAATAGATGATAAGCTCCGTTTCACAGCGTTCTTTTGCCTCTTCCACAGTCTCCTTTTCTTCTTCTTCCTCCTCTTCCTGCTCCTGGTCTTCTTCGGTTTCATCCTCTTCCTCCTCTTCTTCTTCTTCTTCTTCTTCTTGCTTACCCGCTTCTTCTTCGTCATGGAGGAAAATGGATTTGCCTCTTTGGAGCTTCACGACATCAGTCGGAAAACCGGCAATTGAGCCACCCAAGTCTTCTCTGCCCGCATCGGATTCTATTTTCTCCCTCCCAAAGGGTTGTTTTGATATGTCTGTGCTTTTCTTTTCTCTTCGAGAATCCTCAGACTCGGGTGATGCAACATCGGCATCGTACTTACTGGATTTCCGACGCCCCTCTAAAGGTGTTGTTTCGTCCATGGGGTAGGAATAGGAGGAGAGAACGGATTGGAGTAGGGGGTCGCCAGAAAATGCTTGCTTCTCGCGCGCGCCCTTCTTCCTCTTCATTGCGATCCCCGCATCATCATTTCCTTCTTCATTCTCCTTATGGTCGCCGTATGTATCCACACTAACTTCACCCTCCGCCCCCTCAGACTTCTGCCGACGCTTGTGCTTCCTCCGTCTTTTGGAGAATTTTTCTTCTGCTTCTTTATCCTCTTCTTCATGCAAATTCAGCACATCGTTATCTTCAAAAACGCCGCCGCGACCGCCGCCGAATAAAATTTTCTTCATCTTTCCTTCACGCTGTTTCTTCTCGTCCTGCTGGGTTTTCCCTTCCTGTTCCTTCTTCTTTTTCCGCCGCTTCTTTTCCTTGCTGACGACGGGGGCGTCTTCTTCAAGGTTCCAGTCCTCGGGCAAAAAGGAGCGTTGACGGCGCTGACGCCTCACGATTTTTTTCTCCTCTTCCTTCCGTTTCTTCTCCTTCTCAGCCTCAGCATGCTTGGTGTCAAGAACTGTATCAATAACCGCAATACCACCCAGTCGCAGTGCGTCACTAGGGTGACGGAGCCGGTGGCATTGCAAAAGAGACTGATCCACTTCCCTCAATTTACGCTTCGAATGAAGGAACCCTTGGGTGGATTTTAACTGGAGATCCAATTTTCTGGCACGTACACTGTTCCGTATCATCGTTGAGCGACGCTGGGGATCTGAGACCGTGGAAGCCGAATGCAATGAGAGATTTGCAAAATGGTCTATTGGGTGGGTTCTTTCATTATTTTTAATTCCAATCGGAAGCCTCGGCAGGTAATGGAGGGAGTTCTGTATCGCACCTCTAGTGAAATGAGGTTCATTCATCATACCCGGCGTAGATGAATCTGGCGCTGGAACTTGGGGAAAGACATACGCCGCTGTCCCAAGAGCATCGGTGAATGCAGCATCAACACCACTACCCCTCATGGCCGCCCTCTCGTCTGCTTGAAAAAAGGAACAAGAGTCTCCTGCATGTCGTTGCAACTTCCGGAGAAGTGGGTGGCCGGGCTCTAAAATTTTTACTCCAACCTCACGGGCACGTTCTAAAAACACCCTCGTCTCGTTGAACAGATTCTGTCTTCTCTCTGGATCGTTCTCTGTGGAGGCAATTTGCTCGAGTTGACATCCCAAGTTAAACAATACCACAGGGAGGAGTTGAGTGGCCTCCGTGGCCATTCTTGAGTGATCTTTTCCAGTGTTTTTGCCATGTGCACTAAGAGACGTTAGAATCCGTACCGCCTCACGGTTATGCTTCACAGCCCCTTCGCGCTGTCCCGTACGATCACGCAAAGAGGCAAGCTGCATCTCACTTTTTGCAAACTGCAGAATGTTACACTCTTTTTCCATGGTTTCAAGTTGACGCATGGCCGCCCCATTTTCCGTCGACGTGGAAGTAGCGGCTGCTTCTCTTTGACGCTGCACAATGACAGCGACCAGCCTTGTGAGTTCGTAGGCATGCTTGGCGTGTTCGACAGCCATACGGTTCGTACGCTGTGATGCGGCTTCGACACCCGCACCGCTGACAAGTAGTTTCTGCATCATTACATGGGTCTCTCGAACCAGCAGCAGCATCTGTGCCGCTATGAGAGGTGGCTGCAGCAGCTGGAGTGCATCGGTTTCTCTCCGCTGGGTCGTGTCCCTGGCGTTTGGCCCTTCTGTGCTGTCATGACTCCCGCGATGATGGGCCTCAACGAGACACGCGGCACGTATCTCGCGACCCACCTCTACCGCACGCTGCAGTAATATCATTGCCTGCATACGCAACTCACTCGCCCGCTCCTCTTCTTGTTGCCGTTGTTCCCCCATATCATGTTCTGCGTTCACCACCACACCTTGAGAATTTCGTTTCGTGATGGCGTAATAAGTTCGTATTTTCTCCTTCGCAGCCCGCTGAATTTCATGCACACTCTGCGAAAACACACGCAATGCATCGGGTGGTCTTTCTTGTGGCGGAATTGCCCGCATGGCGTCACACTTCGCCTGCAAAGGATCACCAGCCACGACCGACATCGCATGCACACACACACACACAGAGAGAGAGAGACAGACAGATAGATGGAGTGAGTGAGTGCTTAATGAAACGGGCAAAAGTACGCCGATGGCTCACGGAGTTTAACGAATCCGACACGAACGGCCCCCTCCCTAACCCCTCTTCCTACACACCCGTCTCACTGTGCACCCACCCACACAACCTACCTGGATATATCCTTCAGTATTTAATCCAGCCAACAACAACGACGCAAAGAAAGAAAAGCCAAAACAAAACAAAACAAAAAAATAAATAAAAGAAAAAGGGGAAAGCAGAAGAATACCGGATTGCGATAAAAGACGGGTACACAACTTCACCACTCATCTTCACATCGGCAAACAAACACATACAGAGAGTACAGGACATCATATCCAATTAAATAAATATAAATATAAATATAAATATAAATATATGCGCGTAGATATAGAAGCCGGGTCTGTCCACCGCTGCACACTGACACCGTCGTTGAGCTGCGTATATGAAACATGCTAAAATTACCTTCTCCTTTTTTTCCCTTTCGTCTGTATATGTGTGTATACGTGTGTGTGTATTTGTGTGCCGTGGGGGGTTGTGCGAAGGGAAGACGGTGGGTCTGCCGACCGCGGCCGCACAGACACAAGGAGAGAGGGAAAGAGAGAGAGAAAAAAGGGCTAAAAGGGGGTTAAGGGGGGGGAGAGTCATGCACACACATGTAGACTGCCTAAGAGACAGAAGCAAAGAAAAGAAAAAAAAAAAAAAAGGGGAATGAAGCAAAAACAAAAACTTTAAAGAAGACAAAACCGCACAAAATAATTATACTTTTTTTTTTTTACTTTTATTTTTCTGGTTTGACGAATTCCCGCCCCCCCCCCCTTTTTTTTTTTCTTTCAATTTCCTTTCAACTCGTTGTTTTTCGTTGTTTGTTGTTTTGGTCTCATTTTTTATTTTTTATTTTATTTTTATTTGTGTCATTTCTCCGCCGCTCCCTTCATATTTTTTTCTTGTTTTTGTTTTTTGTGTGCCACCGACCCCCTCCCTCTCCCTCTCCCTTTCCCTTTCCCTCCACTTCCTCCCCTCCTTTTTTGGACCCTTCATTTTGCCGCCCCACACGTCGCAGTGTGCATGTGCCCTCATTTGGCCGCCGCCCCGCCCCGCCCTGCCACGGCTGCTGCAAAGCAAATCACACACACGCACAGAAAGAAAAAAAAACTCGCCGCATGGAAGGCAAAGGGGGAGGGGGACGTCAACAAATAAACAAACAAACAAAAAAAAAAAAGAAAAGAAAAGAAAGAGAGACACAAACACAACAACACAGAAAAATATACAGAGAGAAAAGAAAGAAGGAAAAAAAAAACAAAAGGACATCAAACATCATCGTATCCAACAAATCCATCATCATCATCATCATTCTTACCGTCATCACATACGCACAGAGTAAAATAAGAGGAGGAGGGGGGAAAAGGAAAAAGAAGAGAGAGAGGGAGAGTGAGAGGGTGCGTGCATGCATATGTGGAGGAAAAACGTGAGGAAACAGCGGGCAAACAAACATATAAAAACATGGATCCTCTCGCCCTCATTGCCACACCAAAAAAAAAAAAAAAAAAAAAAGAACAAACAAACAAACAAACCAAACCGAACCAACAACAACAACAACAGTGGTGGAAACAATCGAAGTTTCAGCATCAAAGCCCAGGAGCGAGAACAAGATACACACAAAACAATTGAAATGAGGCCTTCTCCTTCCTTTTTTTTTTCCCCCTCACACCGCCACTTTGCACGATTCTCTTCCTTCTTTCCTCCTTTTAGTTCTCTCCCTCTCTCTCTCTCTCTCTTCTTTTTTTCTTTTTTTTTTTTTCCCTTCTTTTTTTCCTCCCCCCTTCCTTCTAGCAGCACCTACCAGTATTTTCCTTTTTACCAGCAGCCTGCCCGTCGTTACTTGCACCAAGGTTGACGGGTCGCTTTGCGTTTGCTGCGGCATTCAGCGGCGGTCGCCTGCCACCAGCCGCGTCAACAGGCGCCACCACGAGGTCGTAGACGGACTTCGCCAGCCACTCAAAGGCCTTCTCTACATTTGTCTTCTCGAGGGCGGAGGTCTCAAGAAATGACAGGCCGTTTTCACGGGCAAAACGGTCGGCGACTTCCTTCTTCACCACCCGCAGGTGCTCCAGGTCGCACTTGTTGCCAATGAGGAAGATGGAGCAGGTCGCGGGCACAAACACGCGAAGCTCCTGCAGCCACGTTGGAATGGAGTCAAATGACGTTTGGTTTGTGATGTCATAGACGAGCATGGCGCCCTTTGCGCCGTGGTAGATGGAGCGTGAGATGGCGCGGAATCGCTCCTGCCCTGCCGTGTCCCAAATTTGCACCTTCGCATCACGTCCCTCAATTTTAATGCTCTTTGTCATAAACTCCACGCCAATTGTGGCGGGCGTGTCTTGACTGAACTCGTTTGCCGTGTAGCGCGTCATGAGGTTTGACTTGCCGACGCCACTATCGCCGATGATGACAACTTTAAATGTCAAATTTGTGTTTTCCATCTCTTCACAACTTTTTTTTTTCTTTTCTTTTTCTTTTTTCTCTTCTTCTCTTAAAAAAAAAAAAAAAAAAAAAAAAAAAAATGAAATCTATTTCCCGTGTGTTTTTGACGTGTGTGTGTGTGTGTGTATGTGCGGATGGAACGCTGATGGATCAACCGTATGCCTTCACTTAACTTCTGTGCATAGCGAGAGAGAAAGAGAGAGAAAGAGAGAGGAATTCAACCAGAAGGAAGGGATATATAAATAAATATACATAAATATATATATATATTTTAAACAATGCAATGCAGACACATGCACACAAACATACCGAAGTGACGCATTAACAAAACATGTCTCCTCTCCTCTTTCTCTCACTCTCTCTCTCTTTCTTTTTTTTTTGCTTTTGTTTTGTTTGCTCCTACACGTGACTGCTCGGCGTGGCAAATGACGGGGAGGGATTTGACGGTATATATATGTGTGTATATATGAAGCGTGCATGCCGCCTCCTCCGCCCGCATTGCAGGCATTGAGCCTCAAAAAGACATGAATGGGCGGGGTATTCCAGAGATGCAATATAAGCACCGAATAAAAAAAAAAAAAAAAAAAAAAAAGGGAGGTAAACTGAAAGAAAAAGACAAACACACACACACACAGAGAGAGAGAAGTAGAGAAGGAGAGAAGGAGAGAAGGAGAGGAGACAAATTTAATAAAATACGAACGTATAAATTCTAATAAAACATGACTTTCCGCATTCGTTTTGGCGCTTGCTTCTCATATATATATTGATAAATAGATACAGAAAGATATATATTTTTTTCTTCGGTTTCCTTTTTTTTTTTATTATTCGGTTGTTTGTTGGCTCCCTCCCTTCTACTTTCCATAAATTCCTCTTTTTTCTTTTCTTTTGGCTCGCCCTTCTAAATGACGGGTTCCCTCCTCTCCCCTCCGTGCGTGTTTGCTGAGGAGAGAGGGAGAGAGGGAGAGAGAGGGGAGAAAACTACATGCAGACACCCATATGACTTCATCAAAATATTCAAAACTCCATTTTTCTTCTGCTTTTTTTTTTTCTTTTCTTTTTTTTTTTTGTTTGTTTGATTTCATTTGGGGATTTATTTGCGTGCATGTGTTTTTGTTTTTAAATAAATAAATATCTTCTTCTGCGGCCATGCGTGCAATGGACATCCCATGCACCCTCTCCCTCTCCTCTCCTCTCCTCTCCTCTCCTCTCTTTTGCGCATATATATATGTATATATATATACAGACCGGGGAGGAAAATTTCTTCTTCTTTTTTTTTTTTCCACTGTTTTAATTACTAATGCCCATCTCCACAAAGCGTTCACCGTATGTTTTGGACCTCACTCGCGTCAAGAGTACCTTCTGCACATCAAAGAGGGCAAATACCTGCAGAATAAGCATAATCAACGCACTTGCAAATGTCAACTCCTGTTCTACACAATGTTGTACGGGTTCACCGAGTTTTCCAATGACCTCTTTTGTATTGGTTTCGTTGTTGAAGATGACACCCACCGTCCCCATATTCCGCCACTTCGCCACAATATCACTGTAGTTAATTATACCCAATAAATTGCAGTCACTTACAACGGGGCCAGCGAGTCCCATCGAGTGGGCCACAAAGAACATCGAGAGCACCAGCATGACTGAGATGAAGTACAGCAGACGATAGGCCTTACGGGGGACAAAGTGTAGAGAAATATAACAAATGACTGTAATGATGGAGAACAAAATGCCAAGAAAGTAAGCAAATCCAGCATGCTTAAAGTTATGCTCAAGTGTAATCACACGACCCGCACCAATGACGTACAGAAGTGTAAAAATAGCCAACAAGATACCCATGATAACTGAGAGAAACTTCCGCAGGAAGCTACACACCCTGCTCATACAATCAAGCTCCATGATGTCTGTATCGAATATATAAAATATAATATATTTATATATGTATATACGTACTTTATATTTGTGTTTTTTTTTTCTTTTTTCTTTCCTTCCTCTTTTATCCCTTTTTTTAAAAAGAAAAAAGTAAACACAAACACACACACACAGAAAGACTTACAAGACAAACAAAAACATATAAAAAAAAGCCATAAATACAACCTTTTTTTTTTTCTTCTTCTTCTTTTTTGACCCCCTCCCTTTTGCACGAGGTGGTGCACTGCATCCACCGTGTGGGAGTTTACATCCATCAATAACATGCATGCAATGAGGGGAAAGGAGTGTCAGTTGACATCAGGCGTCATTGCAGAAAGAACACAACGGAACAACAGCCGCAGCAAACAACAGAAGAAAAAAAGCAAAAAAAAAAAAAAAACAAAATCACAAGCCCGAGTGAAGTAAATAAGTCTTCCTCTTTACATCAAAGAATCTTACAAAAATAAAAAAAAACTTCCCAAAACAAATTCATGCCTTCTTCTCAATTACTGGAGAGAGAGAGAGAGAGAGAGAGAGGCAATTGGGCGCAATGGGCAAAAGATACAACACACAAATACACACAAATGAACATGTACATGCTCGCAAAAAAAAAAAAAAAAAAAAAAGACATTGTGAAAGAGAGTGACAGGTGTTTTTTTATGCCAATCAACCGATCGGTCGCCTGCACGCTCCTCACCGGCGACAATAAAGAAGACACACAGTCCCCCCCTACAATTGAACTGAACGCCTCTTCTTCAGCGCCACTCCATGCATCCGTCACACACACACCCCATCGCCTGCATGGTGGAAAACAACAACAACAAAAAATCACAAAATAACATCTCCCCGCATTATTACGTCATGGCACATTCCTGTGGGGACGCCAGGGAGTTTCCCTCCACGTGAATCATCCCGCAAATGCAAAGTGCAGCCGCCATGGCCGCTATGACGCCAAGAAAAAGCAAAAGAAGCCGCATTGTTTGCGCCACCTGCTCATTAATGAAACAATCCACAGCACGCTGCTGCAGCACAAGGTGCCGCTTTCGACGATAATGCAGCGTGAGCAGGCGCTGACGGGCTGAAAATACTCGAACACGCTCCAGGAAGGCCTCCCGTCGGCGTGCCTCCCGAGGCGGCGAAGTGGCATGCGGGGGTGAAAATGACACGTCCAACCCCCTGCGCGCCTGCTGCTTCTGCAACTCTCCAAATTTGTTGCTCGGACTAAAATACGGCGACTTCTCCCACCGGCTTTCATTTGCCACGGAAGCGAGGAGAGTCGTCATGGCAATACTGTGAAAGTTTTGCTCCTCTGGAAAACGCATGGGCGAAAAAGATGACATTCTCGCCGTGTTCTTTACTCCGCGCCGCGAAGCTGTAGGAACTTCAAAATAATTTTTCCGGTGTGAATCAAAAACTGTCAAAAAATGGCCCGAATAAACCGCATCGCGAAGAAGGGCCCAGTGCCGCTTCGCACCCGTCTTTCCATCGCTCGTGACATTTCTTCGTGGCTCCTGTAGGAATCGACAGCCGCTGTTCGTAGGGACCCTTGAAATATCCACAAGATCCGAATGCGCCGCAGATTGCACCACTGTGTCGTCGACTGGAGTACGTGTGCAGGCGTCAGCCACACATCCCCTTGTCAAAATCGGCCCGCCGCCAACCGACTTCCTCGTATTCTTCTTATCCCGTACAAAGTACAGGGCGGGGATGAAGATTTCGTTTCCGAGACGGTCGCCGCCGCACCGCTCATACGAGGGCACAGGCCGTGCTTTTCGAAAGTACCCCAAAAGCCAATTTCCCCACCGTCTCCAGAAATGACGATTGGAACGACATGAACTCTGCTTTGCGTCCTTTTCGCGCCACGCCTTTCGTTGACTGTGTTGCCGAAACGTAAGAATTTCCCCAGCAATCACAGCGGCAAAGGGAACCAAGAAGAGACAGGATGTCACAAAGCTCCACAGCGGCACAGGGATGGCAGTGGAGGCCAAGGCAGAGGTTAGGCCCATCGCTGCAACGACAGAAAGCATCACCTGAAGTGCGAGACTTACCACAATCTCCAACGGCTCCGCGTAGGGTCGACAGACAATTAAGACTACTGCAAAACCGGCATGAATCAAAACACAGGCAGCAAACCCCATCCACGGGCTCGCCACACCACTACCTTGTCGCATCAATGTGGATATAATGACCATGAGCGTCTTCTGCGCCAGCACAACAAGTTTGAAGTAACGGAACGCATAGGCATACGGGGCGTAAAGAAATTGTGCCTCATTCCGCGAGGATGATACACGTTCACGATAGAGCACATCTATCTTTTTCGACGTCTTCTTGACACGTGAAGCCGTGAGTGCTGATGCGTTTGTGGCGAACAATGAATCCATCGGCATGGTGGGAGAAGTGTCTGTAACATCGCCATCAAATCTCCTTCCAATCCCTGTTCTTTGTTCTTCCTTGCATGCAAACGGAGTTGATGATGCTGTCACCGAGTCGGCTAATGGGTACCTTTGAAGGGCACGCAGCGCCTGTCGGGCAACCAAACCGTAAAGAAGGAGAAAAAAAACTGCATAGGCAGACGTCGCAAGAACAGCGGAGGCCATTAAAAAACCATCGATACCATTGCACGGCACATTTGGGTCTGAAGAGAGGCAAGAGACGTGCGTGGTCGTCCTCTGCATGCAGGCGGCATACGAGCCAATGGACGATGTATCTTCGTCACTGTAGCTGCTGCCATCGAACACCGTGCATGCCACCGTCTGACAGGGAAACAAGCTGATGGCATTTCTCAGTATCGGGGAGTACATGAATGAGACCGCAAGAAGCACCACATATAAGAACATGTGGTGTAACCAAAGTTTGATCTTAAAGAGACGTTGCCGACCCTTTCGCGTTAATCCCAACAGAAAGGAGGCTACAAACAGGAGTCCCAGAAGGAACAACAGTGCAGCAAGAGGATAACACACATGCCTAATCTGAATTGCCCTCAAAAAATCCATTTTGGGCGCCAGTGCAAATACAAATGCGGAAGCAACGCATAAAATACACATTATGAGTTTTATGAACGTCCACAGCAACGATAAAGAGTGTGTCTCTTTATATCGACTCCAAAACAG